CCCGCCATTGGAATTGGCGCGGGCCCTGCAAGAGGAGGAGGGGAAGAACGAGGGAGAGTGGGAGGAAGGGGAGGGGGAAGGACGAAGGAAGAGGGAAGATACCACGTTGTGAAGGCGTCCTTGGCGCGTGCGTGGTTCCTGAGCGCCGAAACGCAATTCCAGAATAATTTGTGAGGACGTCGCACGCGAGAGCGCAGTCCTGAGTACATTGTGAGGAAATCTCAGGCGGAAGCGGGGGCCCTGACTAAGTTGCGAGGAAGTCTCAAGCGGGAGCGCCGTTCCTGAGCAAATTGCACGGAAGTCTCAGGCGGGAGCGGGGGTCCTCACTAAATTGCGAGGAAGTCTCAGGCGGGAGCGCCGTTCCTGAGTCAATTGCGCGGAAATGTCAGGCAGGAGCGGGGGTCCTGAGTAAAATCCGAAGAAGTCTCAGGCGGGAGCGCCGTTCCCACGTAAATTGCACGGAAGTCTCAGGCGGGAGCGGGGGTCTTGATTACATTGCGAGGAAGTCTCAAACGGGAGCGCCTTTCCTGAGTAAATTGCGCGGAAGTCTCAGGCGGGAGCGGGGGTCCTGAGTAAAAATCGAAGAAGTCTCAGGCGGGAGCCGTTGTTGTTGTAGCCCGGGGGGCAGGGGCACAGTTTGAGCAGGAAGACTTTCCTTAAGAAAAAACAAAGTGCGAGCCCCGGGGGTGGCACTTCAATCGAAAAAAATCAATGTGCACCGGTGGTGCCCCCGCTTGCCGGCTGTGCCTTCGTTGTGTGCTGTGCTGCCCCCGCTTGCCGGCTGTTGTGTGCGGCCTGTTTTTTTTAATGGTCGGTGGGACCTTGTGGGATTGCTCTTTAGTTGTGCTGGTTTTGTTGTTGTGGCCGTCTGTGCCATAGGGGTGTTCACACAACTTTGTAGTTCGCTCGCTCTTTGCAGGCTCGGGCCCATAGGTTGGCACGCCTCTGACGGTTTGGCCATTGTGCACTTCCTTGCCGCCCGGCGAATCTGCTTGGGCATTTAATGTTTGCCGGTGCTTCTCCAGTGGAGGAGCCTTGGGCAACGGCTTCCAGCAGTTGGGCACTGATGGACTGTAATGTTGGAGGGGCTTGGTGGCGTTGTGGTTGGGGGGAAAAAAAATGCGCACCGGTGGGGGGATCAACAATAATTATTCTTCAAGAATGAGAGTTCAACAGCAACAACACCAACACTAAGCCAGCGCTGATGTAGTTTATCTGGTCGTCTTCGTGGAACACGAAGTCGACGATCGTGGCCCGTTGCTCCTGGGCCAAGCCACATGTTCTATTGAACTTGCTAGCGAAACGAACCCGCATCCCCACGCGGGCGGGCAGCGCGCCGTGCATGCAGCCCGCGTTGTAAATGTCGGCGACGTTCAGCATCTTGGAGCGCGGCTCCTTGTCTTTGATGGTCTGGTATTCGTCGGCAGCCTGCAGGAAAACCAACTTCACCTCGAGCGCGCGGGCGTCGCGCCGCGCGCGCTTGGTGATCCAGCTGGCCAGAGGTTCCCAGTGCATGGCCAAGCCGTAGCCCTCGAGGAACGTTTTCCGCGCGCGTCGCGGGTCCAGCTCTGGGCTCGCGCCAGGGCGGCTGTCCTCCACAAGCCGCGTCTCGATGGCCCGCCAGACAGGGTCGGGAATCGGTTTGCCCTGCCGCATGCAGCTCAAGAGCTCTACGAGGGGATTGCCTTTTACGAAGCGCTGGGTTCTTTGGAGCTCGATCACACAGGTGATCCTCTTGAAGACCCTGAGGGCGTTCCGAATCTCAAGCGAGGGCGGCTCCGAGAGCGCGCAGTTGCCGCCCTCGTCTTTCTCGCTGGGATCTGTCGCGAGGCTGAGCTGCGCAGCCGGTGTCAACTGCAGGAAACCGCCCAGGTGGATGACGATCGGGCACCTACCAAAGCTGCACCCCTGGCTTCCTATAGTTGCCCTCCGAGACATCGTGGGACTTGGCGCGCCCGCACGTGGCGCGGAAGTCCAGCATGTTGTAGCTTGCGGCAAACACCATGCTCACATCTTGGATGACGAGCACATTCACGTTCCCCTGCTGCACCTTGAGAGCCTGCGCCTCGCTGCCAGGCCGCATCTTCGCGTTGGCCATCTCCAAGGCGCGCATTCCTGCAGCGTCGTGCAGAGTCCGCGTTTTCCAGTCGGCGGTAGAGATATTATTGGCCTGGGTATTGGAAGACGCCACCACCAGCATTGCCGGGGGCTCGGGCGTCTCGTTGGGCCAGATGTGTTCCACTGCTCTGGACGCCAAGTGCTGCACCACGTGCGCCTTGCCGGCGCCCCCAGCGCCCAGGAGCAGGAGATGCGTGGGTTCTCGCTGATCGGGCGGCACGTTGTTTTTATTCCCCCCAGGCCTTGTCGCAGGCTTCCGCGAACACCACCATGTACAGCGCCTATCGCCGATTCAGCTGTTTGTTCGAGGGTAGCTCCGATATGCGATGCCGGATGAAAGTGCTCGGCGTCTCGTAGGCGCCCCCGCTGTCGAATGAAACCACTGGCGGCCGTTTACCTTCGAGTTTGGTTCAAATTCCTTTTCCAGTGCGAACGTCAGCGAGAAACTGAATATTTGCAAGTTCCCCTTCCCGCGGCTGAATGGTGAACCGTTTCAAGTTCCCCCTTCAGTCCGACCACGAGAGGGGGAGTGAACCTTTTCAAGTTTCCTCTCTCCCGCCTGGAAAGTGTGTTTTTTTCAAGTTCTCTCTCCCGTTCGATCGCATGAACCTTTGCAAGCTCAATTTCCCGCGACTGGAAGTTGAACCTCTTCAAGTTCCCCCTTCAGTCCGACCACGCAAGGGAGAGTGGACCTTTTCAAGATCCCCGTCCCTGCCTGGAGATTGAATATGTTCAAGTTCCTTCTCCAGGCCGACCACGAGCGGGGAAATTAACCTTTTCAAGTTCCCTCTCCTGCCCATTGCCCAGGCGCGGTGGCGGATTTGGCCGAATGCCTTTAGATAGGATCCGTTCCGTGTCTCCCCTGTCCCAAAGGTCCTTTCCTGAGCCCGCGGAGCCGCCAGAAACAAACCCCAAACAATAGTTTTACCGGCCCGGCCCTCCGGCGCGTCTCGTGACGATTTTGTATCGCAAACTATATTGATCTGCGCCAACTTTCAACGAGTCTACTCCCGTTCCGTCCCGGAGGGGAAAATTATGTTCCCAACCCCGGGAACGCCAAACAGCAAGTGCGTTAGTTTCCCCTTACTACCAAACACGATGCAAAGCCCCTCTCTCCTCCCGTTTTCGAATTCCTCTATCGTCCTACTCGTAGGGAGAGAAATCCTTGTCAAGTTCCTTCTCCAGTTCGAACGTCAGCGAGAAAGTGAATGTTTGCAAGTTCGCTTTCCCGCGGCTGACGGGTGAACCTTTTCAATTGCCCATTTTAGTCCGACCACGAGAGGGGGAGTGGACCTTTTCAAGTTCTCTCTCCCCGGCCTGGAGAGTGAACCTTTTTTCCAAGTTCCATTTCCAGTTCGATCGCATGCGGGGAAGTGAACCTTTGCAAGTTGCCTTTCCCGCGACTGAAGGGTGAACCTTTGCAAGTTCCCCCTTCAATCCGACCACACGAGGGAGAATGAACCTTTTCAAGTTCCTTGTCCTTGCTTGGAGAGTGGATTTTTTTTTTCGAGTTCCCTCTCCAGACCGCAAGCGGGAAAGTGAACCGTTTCAAGTTCCCCCTCCCGCAGCTAGAGAGTGAACCTTTTCAAGTTCCATCCCCAGCCCAAAACGCACGTGGGAGAATGAACCTTCTCAAGTTCCCTCTCCCGCTGACGACGGCAAGATTGGAAAGCACCACGGAGAGAAAAAGCAACATCCCACGGTGACACAAACTCTGCGCCAGCAACACCTGGTCACTCTTCCTTGACCGCCGTACGCAACGGGGAGAGCCATTCGGGACACAACGCAAAAACAGAAAACAGGCAAACCACTAGACACATCCCGACAAAACGGCGACGAACAGAGCCGTGAAAGCACCTTTGGCGGCTCCCCTTAGGTGACTGAAACCAGCGCCCCGCCTGAGACATCCTCGCGATCTGCTTCCCAAACGAAGGATGTTGAGACAGAAAACAGGCAAACCGTTTGAGACATCCCCACAAAACGGCCTCGAACGGGACCGTGTCATACCCCTCGGCGGCTCCCTTTAAGGGTGCTGGAACCAGCGCCCCGCATGAGACATCCTTGCAATATGCTCTTTAAGCGAAGGATGTTGAGACAAAACGCAGGCAAATCGCTTGAGACTTCCCCACAAAACGGCCGCGAACGGGACCGTGTCATACCACTTGGCGGCTACCCTCAGGGGTGCTGAAACCAGCGCCCCGCTTGAGACGTCCTCGCAATATGTTCTCCGAACGAAGGATGTTGAGACAAAAAAAAGGCAAATCGCTTGAGACGTCCCCACAAAACGGCCGCGAACGGGACAGTCCCATAGCCTTCGGCGGTTCCCGTCAGGGGTGCTGAAAACAGTGCCCCGCCTGAGACATCCGGATGCTGGGACAGAACAGGCAAACCGCTTGAGACATCCCCACAAAACGGCCGCGAACGGGACCGTGTCATACCCTTCGGCGATTCCCTTTAGGGGTGCTGAAACCAGCGCCCCGCCTGAGACATCCTCACACTTTGCTGTGTATTGAGTAAATTTGGCAATGAGAAGGTCTTGGTATGAGTAAGTCTGAGTATGAGTGAGTATCAGAATGAGTAAGTCTGAGTATGAGTAGATCTGAGTATGAGCAGGTCTGAGTATGAGTAAGTTAATGTGATGAAGTCTGAGTATGAGTAGGTCTGTGTACGAGTAAGTTTGTGTATGAATAAGTCTAGGTATGATGAGGATGAGAAGAAGAGGAAGGAGGAGTAGGATGCGCCCAAGTAATACTTAGAATCCCATCTTAGGATATGTGGAACAAAACAACGCCGCCTTGATTTTCGACGCGTTGCCTCTGGAAATAAGGCTTCCGGGACGAGCCGTCGCCTGTGCTCGCTCCCCCCTGGCCGGCCACCGCGAGGACGCCCATGGCGACATGGACAAGTCTCCCCTGGTCGTGGGCCAGATGCTCCGGGACTGCGACATCGACACGAAGGCCCCTCCCCCCCCTGGCGGCTACTGGCCTCCGGAGCGGTGTCCCAGCGGATAAGGTCGGAGGGCCGCCCTGCCTCGCCGATGCATCGGTGATGCGGCCCGATCCGGAGTCCTGTGTTCTTCGGCCCGCCGTCGCCGAGGCTTTCGGCGATGCGGTGCGATGCTCCGGCCCCGTGTTTGTTCCGGCCCGTCCTTGGGGAGGCCTCGAGTTAATGGAGGATGACGATTGATAAATGACCGGGGGTCGTGTTCACGCGGCGGCGCCCGGGGTGACGATTAGAAAACACCGGCCGCGGGCTGGATAACTATTGTT